TATAAACCAGGTTTAATCAACCGTTTTATACATAAGGAAATGCCAGTACTAAGTCAGGAATATGACAGTTGTTTCCCATTCGTTTGATGTATTTGAGGTTTTTTTTGGCATTTGATAAGGTACTTTCCGTTTTGAACTTTCCTTGGAGTTCGGTATTTTTGTTCTTTTACTTGTAATGTCTCCAAATCTTTAACCGTCAGTGACACACAGCCCGATGATCACAAAACGGTCTTCGCGAAAGGAAGTGAATCAGAGCGTTATCAGATCCTTGTTACCGAAGCGAAAACCACGGACTAGTATTATAATCAGGTTGCATGTTAAACGTATTTTTCTACGTAGGATTTATTTACTACATAATGTACAAAGCTGGCACTCTTTTGATACAAAATCCATCCACGATTAAAATTTTGTAATAAGTCCAGTATATGAGTCTGTTTGCTCGATCAAAACTGTATAAAAAGATGTCAAGAACTTAAGGTTTGGAAAAGTAGTTCATACACCTCATTTTCATTGTAATAGAGTATTTAAATCGGTCAAATTATAAAAGAAGTGTCAGCAAAATATTGCTTAAGAAGATAACGAAAGATTATCATATATCTGGATTAGGCATTCAAGAAACTGTCCGACTATATTGAAAGGATCTCGATCTGTCGTCAACTTCTTTGTTGAATTGAATATTAGTCGATGCTGCATTTCATAGCATTTATTTGTTAGTAATTGCATCGAAATTTTTGTTTAGTTCTCCAAGATGTCACTTTCACACTAGCTTCGTAGTCAACCTCGTATTGGTTTTTCATTTTATAAGCCCCGAAAGCATTGCCGTGATAAACACGTATCGATTCCGACATAGAAATGTTTTTGCCAGCTAATTAGCCTTACCGCCTAATTATCTACGCCATTTATTAAGTCAATTTCAGATGTGTCAAATAGACAAAGTTAGATTGTAACGTAATATCTAATTTGTCATTTGAAAAAGGAAGATTTCGTTCCACTATGTAATTTTTCATCGTCAGCTGTTATTCGTAATTCATGATTTTCTGACATTTCAAAGGTCACATATCTGCAATGCTTTGTATCATTTGTCATTCATTTGGTTATAATAAACATTGGAATTGTACAATAGAACATCTTAATGAATTTGTTTTATTGATTGCAGAACATTTAACGTCATAGAATAATAATTTTTAATATATCATACTTCATATTAAAATGCCAGTAGAATACAATTTACCCTACTGTAACAATGACTCAGCGGGTAACAATCATGGTTCAGCGGGTAACATTGTTTCGAATGTTTCCCTCTCATGCGATTTTTTCATTTTATGTCAAAACAAAAATCAACAATATAAAAATAGAAAGTTATAACATATATCTTGCCAATCCTAGCTAACGTATTCCATGTCAACGTGTTCTCGTCCTGGTCGTGCATGAAATATATTAACAAACACGTTAAGCAAAATTAAATAGCCATAACTCATATATAAACAATGTACATGTAGGTACTACTTGATAAAGGGCAAATAAAACTATGTCGATACTCAATTCGAGATGTGTGTCTCCACACTAAAAGGGGAGATCACTTTAAAAAATCTTTGACAAGAAAAGACCATACATAACAGAAGGGGAAAGCATTTTCCTTGATTTATTTTTTCTATCATTTGTAAACCAAAACGTTTGTTAAATTGGTTTACTAATGAATTCCCATCTGTAGCGGATATTAATCGGAAAACTGAGTTTTCTTATGGGATTATTTTAGTTTCCAACGATGGACAAATTATTTCCGGAGAGAGAAAATCAGCTTAATTTTCGAGAAAGTATATGTATAATTGAGTAGTATGTATAGCTGAAATAAAACAAAAACCTTAATTGTAAATGATATGTCTTTGATGTGGATTGAGGTCAAGACAAATAAAATAGATTTTAACTATTGAGCAATAACGAGACTAACGCCTACTGGTCTATTGATATTTAACGCAAGTTTGCTATTATTTATAACTGAAATGAAAAGGGGTTCAGAAGTGTGAATTTTACTGATTGTTTCTTTCTATATAGCTTCAGATAAACCATAAAAACTACCTTCATCCAGCCATAATATTTTGTATGGCCTTCTGGCTACACAAAAAAAAACTTCAATTCATCGATGAAGATCTTTGTTAATAACACTTTTATCAACTAAACACAATTTTAAAATCAACTTTTTCATAACGAATATGGCATCGTCGATTCTGACCACCAGTTGATTCAGTTGAACTGAAATATACTATGTTTAAGTAAGTCCAACAAAACATAACGAGTAAATACCGCAAATATTAACAAACGGATTCATATTCACTTAAAAGGGTACTACATTTTGAGAACGCCCCTAACTGTCACCCTCTTTCTGCCATTTCATATATGCGAAGAGTATAAACTTGAGTGTCTCCATGACTAAAAGTACAGTAAAAGTTAAATCAATTTTTAAGAAAATCAATTGAAGCCTGCTAGCTAGCGATGCTAATTGTTATAAAATGGGGAAAATATCTAGAAAAGATCGTTGATGTCCACCAACAGCCGAGTTTTGTCAGTTTATAACAGATTGTCGTTATTACCTTTTTTGTATCTGTATTAAATACTCCCTTTTTGTATCTGTATTAAATACTCCCTTTTTGTATCTGTATTAAATACTCCCTTTTTAGCTTACCGGAGCCCGAAGGGCCCCATGTGAGCTTATGTCATCACTTGGCGTCCGTCGTCGTCCATCGTCTGTCGTCGTCTGTCGTCGTCTGGCGTCGTCTGTCGTCGTTGTCTGTCGTCGTCTGTCGTCGTAAACTATTTCAAAAATCTTCTCCTCTGAAACTGCTAGGCCAAATACCTTCAAACTTTAACTAAATGTTCCTTAGGGTATCTAGTTTATAAATTGTATCCGAAGTTTTGATCCATCGACAAACATGGCCGCCATGGCTAAAAATAGAACATAGGGGTCAAATGCAGTTTTTTGCTTATATCTCAAAAATTAAAGCTTTTAGAGCAAATCTAAAACGGGGGTAAAATTGTTCAATTGGTCAAGATCTATCAGCCCTGAAATTTTCAGACGAATAAAACAACTCAGTGTTGGGTTGCTGCCACTAAATTGGTAGTTTTAAGGACATTTTGCAGTTTCTTGTTATTATTTTGAATATTATTATAGATAGATATAAACTGTAAACAGCAATAATGTTCAGCAAAGTAAGATCTACAAAAAAGTTTTATGACCAAAATTGTCAATTGACCCCTTAAGGAGTTATTGCCCTTTAAAGACAATTTTACACAATTTGTTCATCAAGTTTGCTAACATTTAAAAATCTTCTCCTCTGAAACTACGTGGCCAAATACCTTCAAACTTCATCTAAATGTTCCTTAGGATATTTAGTTTATAAATTGTATCCGAAGTTTTAATCCATTGACAAACATGGCCGCCATGGCTAAAAATAGAACATAGGGGTCAAATGCAGTTTTTGGCTTATATCTCCAAAACTAAAGCTTTTAGAGAAAATCTGACATGGGGTAAAATTGTTCAATTGGTCAAGATCTATCAGCCCTGAAATTTTCAGACAAATCGAACAATCCATTGTTGGGTTGCTGCCACTAAATTGGTAGTTTTGAGGAAATTTTGCAGTTTTTTGTTATTATCTTGAATATTATTATAGATAGATATAAACTGTAAACAGCAATAATGTTCAGCAAAGTAAGATCTACAGAAAAGTTAAATGACCAAATTTGTCAATTGACCCCTTAAGGAGTTATTGCCCTTTAAAGACAATTTTACGCAATGTGTTCATCAAGTTTTCTAACATTTAAAAATCTTCTCTTCTGAAACTATTGTGCCTTATAATTCTTAACTTTCACAAATTGAATGAATGTTCTTTTAGGAATCTAGTTTATGAATTGTATCCGAAATTTTGATCCATCAACAAACATGGCCGCCATGGCTAAAAATAGAACATAGGGGTGAAATGCAGTTTTTGGCTTATATCTCAGAAACTAAAGCTTTTAGAGCAAATCTGACAGGGATAAAAATGTTCAAAAGGTCAAGATCTATCAGCCCTGAAATTTTCAGACACACCGAACAACACATTGTTGGGTTGCTGCCACTAAATTGGTTGTTTTAAGGAAATTTTGCAGTTTTTGGTTATTATCTTGAATATTATTATAGATAAAGATAAACTGTAAACAGCAAAAATGTTCAGCAAAGTAAGAGTTTATATGACAAAAATTGTCAATTGACCCCTTAAGGAGTTATTGCCCTTTAAGGACAATTTCACACAAGTTGTTTTATGTTTTTTAACTTTAAAAATCTTCTCAAATGAATCTAGTATAAATTTTGTATTTCATTTCCTTGTACGTCAAGAAACATAGACACTAGGGCTAAAATGGAACATATGGGTAAAAAGCAAAATTAATCATTGATGAAAGATTTAAGCAAAAAAAATAACAGGTGAGCGATTCAGGCTCTTGAGAGCCTCTTGTTGTATCTGTATTAAATACTCCATCCTTTTTGTATCTGTATTAAATACGCCCTTTTTGTATCTGTATTAAATACTCCGTATGAAACAAAACATATTGTAAAAAGGATTATCTGATAAAATATCGGTTTGTGTGGTCATAACTTTCGCCATTCATTTTAGAGACATGATTGGATGAGTTGCATTGAGTCGAATTGTTTGGCACGTTTGTATGTTCTTGCTTTGATTATATAATTTTCGATTTACATAGTTTTAGTTAAAGTTATTTCCTTATGTCGTTATGTTAAGAAAATAAGAAAATCAACTAGTTTGCCTTCCATCATGGCGGCCATAGGAAATAACCCCTATTCAAATTCCGTCAATTGAAACTCATCTTTTACGACCATAAGAAACGTGTTACATCGAAACACCAGACCAATTGGCGAGCTGTAAAATCAAAGTGGTCTTTTAACGGAATTTTATGCTGCCTTTTACGTACCATGCTTCTGTTTTACTAAATGCTTTCTTTTTTCGTTTCAGTTGTGGTGCTGTGTGCATCTGCTGATTCTGTCAGGGATATATTGATTAAAGCTCATGAATTAAATTTTGACAACGGAGAATATGTTTTCCTAAACATCGATTTGTTCAGCAGGTAAGAAACTCTAAAGTCATGTAAACTACGGCTCAGGCGAATTGTGCACTTTCGGCCCTCTACAGCGGGAGTCAGCACATGGAGCCTATCAACTCTGCGCCAATCATATAGGGAAGGTATGTCGTGGCTTTGGGTTTATATAAAGAATTACATGTTAAAATCCTTGTTATAGAAGATAAGCATTGTCATTTTCAATAGTTCAACAAAATAATAGATATAAACTTGAATGGCAATAGGTGTCATTGTGAATGCCCATTGTGAACAAGTGAAAATAGCAAAGTCCTCACAAGCTGTATATAAGAAAACCAAACAGTCATTATGGAATCATTTTCATTTCCTCTTACTTTTCTATAAGAAATGAAGAAAAAGATAAAAACAATATTTTAATGCAGATATGTATATTTAATGAATATGCTGTTTCAAAGGCTTTTAGATAGTAATATACAAATAAGATGTGGTAACATTTACCATGAAACAACTATCAGATAGACACCAAATGACGTAAATGTTGACCATAAGTCACCGTACTGCCTTCAACAATGAGCAAATCCCTTACAATATTGTAATCTATAAAATGACATGACAAAATGTAAAATAATTCAAACGAGAAAACCAAGGGTCTAATATGAGAAAACCAAGGGTCTATTACGAGAAAACCATGGGTCTAATACGAGAAAACCAAGGGTCTAATACGAGAAAAACATGGGTCTAATACGAGAAAACCATGGATCTAATACGAGAAAACCATGAGTCTAATACGAGAAAACCAAGGGTCTAATACGAGAAAACCAAGGGTCTAATACGACAAAAACCAAGGGTCTAATACGAGAAAACCATGGGTGTAATACGAGAAAACCAAGGGTCTAATACGAGAAAACCAAGGGTCTTATACGAGAAAACCAAGGGTCTGATACGACAAAAACCAAGGGTCTAATACGAGAAAACCAAGGGTCTAATACGAGAAAACCAAGGGTATAATATATCTACAAAGCAAATACAAATGTATGATAGACAGCAAGCAACGACAACCACTGAATTACAGGCTACTGACTTAGGAGGACAGGCATCTATACAATTTAGCAGATAAACATGTTTACGAGCGCTCAACCCTCCCCTTACCTGGGACAGGGGTGTTACAACACACCATGAGAGCAAACTGTTCGGAAAGGCTGGACTCGGTTTGTGTTTGGTATTTAGTGTCTTCGTGATACTATTGATACACATGACTGTATACAGATCATTCTTGGTAAACGTTTCACAGAACTGGCAAAAAAAAGACAAATTGAGAATCTATATCTATTTCTCTCTAACATAAATTGAGCTATATTTTTATTTGTTAGCAAGCGAGATAAAAGGGGGAAAATCCTTTCGTTTGTTCTTGGACTACACAACAACGAGGCCTCACACGGTTTATGCCAGCCGAGTGTTTAACTTTCACAAATGCCGAACTGTAGAAACTAAAAGTACATCTTTAAACGAATGCAAAATCTAATAATGATCTGATTTCTATGCATGGAATTACCGTATATTTGAAATAAAACAGAAAAACTAAATCTTCTAAATTGAATAATTTCTACGAAATGATTCAAGAATGTGAGTAGACTGGAATTTGTTGTCATCCCGCCTTTACGAAGTAGGATTAATAACAACTGCAATTACTGAAATTAAGGTCGCTTATAGTCATCTAAAATTCCCTTGTGTTTAAATAGTGACAGAAATGATCCAAAGTCACGAAAAGAGTTCATCAATTAATTATTCATTCTTGTGATTTTCAACAAAAACAATGAATTTCTTTGTTTTTATTAATTTGTTGTCACGGAAAAGAGATATTTATTATGTCTGTAAGAAACCATACAAGAGAACATAATTTGGGCACGCTAAAATTAGTAATGTCAATTCTCGTTTGAAACGAGATCTCAGCTTCCCGAACTTCAGTAAATATCATGATTTAAAAACAGAAGCGGCAACCTTATATAAATGCAATAAAAATGTGTCGGCTAAATTGAAACAATAGATAAACAAGATCTCCGTAAAAAATCATAGTGATCGAGGTGATCCGGAAGTGTTAGGAATAGGGAAATAGTTCTGTCGTGCTTGACTTCCCAAGGCCGGGCGCTAATAGTACAATTTACTTATGTTACGTTTTAATGGGATAATGAACTTCTAATGGCGTATTTATGCTGCTTCTTATATGTTCGGTTTAAACTCTGATAATTAAATTATTACCAACACATGCTTTTAATGCAAATTGGATCATCCGACAACATCTGACTCTTATACGGCTTTAAATTCATCATTTCAGACTAAAACGCATTTAAGATGGTCCACTCTATTGGCTTCTTAAGATAACTTCGTTATAGTTTCTTTTTAGTGTCATGTTTAACTGTCACATTGTAATGATAGCGTTGTAGTTTGTTGCGAATTTACAAAAATCATGATTTAATGTAGACGTCTCGAATTGAAAAAAAAATCCTATTTCAAATTGCTTCATTGTGTAAAGTCAAGAATATTGTCACGTGATGTCATTGCCCTTTTATATTATTTTTCTATTCAGGAATTTTTTGTTAAGCAGGTTCGCTACTCAGTTTCAAAATAACAAGCTTTTTATAACACTAGTATATATTGATAGGTGATTAATAAAGGAACCAAAAAAGCAAGAAAAATATATAGGTCAATGTGCTTGTTTTCGAGATATTAGCCATTGAAATTTTGGCTGGAAAATGTTCTGTCTTGATTTTTCATAGCTTTATCATTGACAAGTTTAAGTTCCTAAAAACCATTAAAAAATAACAAAGATTTTTATAAGACTTTTACAGATGGCTCATAATTATACATGTAAAAGATTTATAAAAAGAAAGATGGGGATCAATGGGCAAAAATTATCAAGGCATTCAAATGGATAAAACCAAACTAAAATTTTTTTAGGTAAAATTATCGAAACATTTTTTAATTAAGCTCAGGACAACCCATGATTTGCAAATTTTAGGGGGTGGTTGCTCGCCCGCCACGCCACCGCCTGAATCCGTCCCTGATGTCTCACTGAATGTCCTCTTATTTCCTTAAAAAATCTTTTGTATTTATTAGGAATACAAACAGCTATTTTATATATAGTGTCAACACAGTCGGTAAGCAGTTCAATATAACAAAAGAATATAATTTAAATTAATTGTTTTGAGAACAAAAACAATATGTAATTTCAATTCACAATCACGTTAAAATCAGACATACATATTTAATGGAACTCAAGCAAATGAGATTTTTATATGTCTTTGTGTCGTTATGGACAAAAACAATTAGAAAAAAAACTCATTAGTTTTCTTTTGAGATAGCTACAATTCGTAGCAGAAACTAAAATTAACAATTTTATGAGAAAACAAATAAAGTCGATAACCTTTACCCATTTCTATCGATAGACGAATGATGAATATACATGTATTTATTTTGAATTTGCATTGTATCATAGATCAAATTTATTTGTTCAGTGTATGTTCACTGGTGTTAATATGTCTTTTGATTGAGTTAAGCCATTTCAATTGATATTTTATAGTGTGTTTTTCTATGTTGTGATGTTACACTATTGTTTCAGATAAGGGTAAAGGTTTGGTACCATTTTAAAAAACGTTTAAACCCGCTGCAATTGTTTGCACCTGTCCTAAGTCAGGAATCTGATGTTCATTAGTTGTCGTTTGTTTATGTGGTTCATAAGTGTTTCTCGTTTCTCGTTTTTTATATAGATTAGACCGTTGGTTTTCCCGTTTGAATGGTTTTACGCTAGTAATTTTTGGGGCCCTTTATAGCTTGCTGTTCGGTGTGAGCCAAGGCTCCGTGTTGAAGACCGTACTTTGACCTATAATGGTTTACTTTTATAAATTTTGACTTGGATTGAGAGTTGTCTCATTGGCACTCATACCACATCTTCTTATATCTATGTATGTTAATTTTTAAAGAAGCGTCTCAGTCTGCACTAAGCGCTTCGGACGCCATGCTTTTATAAAGTGTTACTTTCATTTTCTAAAACTTGGTCTACTTCTGCTGGAAGGCAGTCACTACTAGTTCACGAAGATATGATGATAAGATATCATTCCGACGAAGTCGAAGGGGACTTTAGGTTTGCACTGCGTCCGTCTGTCCGTCCGTCCGTCCGTCCGTCCGTCCGTCCGTCTGTCTGTCTGTCTGTCTGTCTGTCTGTCTGTCTGTCTGTCTGTCTGTCTGTCTGTCTGTCTGTCTGTCTGTCTGTCTGTCTGTCTGTCTGTCTGTCTGTCTGTCTGTCTGTCTGTCTGTCTGTCTGTCTGTCTGTCTGTCTGTCTGTCTGTCTGTCTGTCTGTCCGTCCGTCCGTCCGTCCGTCCGTCCGTCCGTCCGTCCGTCCGTCGGTCCGTCCGTCCGTCCGTCCGTCCGTCTGTCTGTCTGTCTGTCTGTCTGTCTGTCTGTTTGTCTGTCTCTGTCTGTCTCTGTCTGTCTCTGTCTGTCAAATCAGTTTTCCACATTTTTTTCTTCATGCTTGAAGATATTGATTTGATATTTGGTGTATTGTTGTTTTATCATGACAAGTTACAGATCAAGTTCGAATTTTTTTCCGGTCTGATGATTTTTTGCAGAGTTATGGTCCTTGGACTTAGAAAATTCACTTAAATAATCAGTTTTCAACACTTTTTTTCGTCATACTTGAAGATATTGACCTGATATTTGTTAAATAGTTTACACCAGGACAAGTTATCGATCAAGTTAGAATTTTGTTCCAATACAATGAAATTTTAACCGGTAGGGGACTATGTATTGCCATGCAATACTCACAGAAAGCTTGTTCTACATGGCGTTGTCATTTTATTTTCGACTTATGAGTTTGAATGTCCCTTTGGTATCTGTCACTTTTAAAGACAGCAAGCGGTTTCATTAATTATTTGTAACGTAATATTTAGCAGATGTCAATAAAAAATGGAACCTCGTCAGGGGTTGTCTTTTGTCATTTGGGGACTATGTGTTAATGGCATATATTTTTTTG